TCAGGGATGCAGGCGTGAGGAATGCTTGGGAAGGGGAGAGGGGGCTCAGGTTTCCGTTCCCGGGTGGTTTGGCTTTCTGGTTCTCAACCCTTCCCACCTGGGGCAGGGGAGAGGAGGGTCCCTAACCTTCAGGGACTTCAGATCAGCTGGATTCCTCTAGCATGCTACATCCTGGCGCTCCCTTTTTGCGTCTTTCAGAGATGAAGTTTGCCAGCACATGCACAGGGTCCAAATTATCCAAGGGTGGGGAAGGGAAGGAGGGGTAGAAAAAGTGCAGAAGGAAAGAGAGAAGGGCAACCAGGGCAGGTTAGACACGCCATGCTCCTTCCCCACCCTGGGCAGGCGGGGTGCAAACCGAAGTGACCAGATCCACTTTCCAGAGAGTATATTTTGCTTTGTGAATACCTTGGATCATCCCTTCCCTGCCCATTCACAAAATCCCAGAATCACCTGGATTGGAAAAGACCTTTAAGATCATCGAGTCCAATCATGAATCCAACACTGACAAGCCCCCAACTAACCCATGTCCCTCAGCACTGTGTCTACACGACTCTTCAGTCCCTCCAGGGATGGGGACTCCACCACTGCCCTGGGCAACCCCTTCCAATGCCTCAGAACCCTTTCAGCAAAGAAATTCTTCCTCACATCCCATCTCAACTGCCCTTGGTGCAACTTGAGGCCATTCCTCTTGTCCTGTCACTTGTTCCTTGGTTGAATAGACTAAAATTCCTTTTCACCCTCCTTCCATGTCCTTTCCCTGCCTTCAAGCATTCCCTTTTTCTCCTGGAAAAGTGAGATGGTGGATGTATGCATGTATGAACAAACACGTAGGAGCTGGAGAGGGCAGCAGCATGTTTCAGGTGTACAGAAACCCCTCCTTCGCTAGCCCTGAATGCTGCTGAAAGGGCTGTGGGCAGCAGCCCCTGGCCAAGAAAAGCTTTAGTGTTCTCCAGACCTGGGCAACGTATTGCTCTGTAGCTTTGGGTCTTGTCCTGGCAGTTGCTGCCTTCAGCAAAGCCACACAGCTCCCACCCCACATCCTTCAGGGCTTCCCATGGTCCCAGGCTGTACCCATGCAGCCAGGAGCATGCTGTGCCTGTGCTGTGAGCCCACTGCTGGCCACCACCCCGGCAGGAACAAAGGGTTAAAACTCAGAGGTACCTTTGAAGGCATCTGCCTTTGCTTTGCACAAGCCATCCTTGGGATAGCTCGCGCTGATACACCAGGCTCCTCACGCACTGCTGAGTTGCTCCTTCAGGAGATGTCCTCGCTGCTCACCTGCTTCCCATCTCCATGGGCTTTAGCTCTGTTTCTGCACTGGCCAGCACAAGGATAATTCCAAGCCCAGGGGATAAGCTTGGGTCAGTGAGCTCCTAAGGACACCTCGCTCTCCTAATTGTGCCACAGGGTTGCTCCTCACCTCATCTTCTCCAACCCTTCCACTTTTACACTATTGTTGATCCTGCCTCTCCTTTTCCACTGGGATCTTCTACCCCAGAGCTCCCTGGGCTTGCAAGTGACCACGGCAGTGTCACATATGTGGACAGTGGAGACCAGCCAGCATGGCCAGGACTCATCTTAGCCCACCAGGCTCCCCAGGAGCAAGCTAACCGCATATTGGATACCCCCAACAACCTCCCCAGCTCCCTCCCAGCCCCCACCTCCCACAGCTCCCTCGAGCCCCGGTTCCTGCTCAGCTCCAGCCCCCATAGAAGGAAGGGTTGATCTACCTTATAGGCCACTTTGGAAGGACATCTCTTGCCGAGGCCTAGCGGTGGTGACATAAGAGTCAGCATTTCATACATCTCAGTGTAATGGATTCGGCCACTGCTCATGGAAGGGGAAGGGGAGGGAGGGAGATGCAGAGAGAGAGAGAGAGAGGAGGCATTCCCAGAGAGCAGAAAAACATACAAACAAAAATAGTACAAGAAAAACAGGAGAGAAAAAACAAAAAACAAACGGACAAACAGGAAAAGAACAGGAAACCCATTAATCAAGGCAAATCATACATGAGAGACTGTCCTGATGTGGATTTATAGCACTGCTCACACAGACCCAGGAATGCTGGCAGAAAGCAACTCACCCCTCTCCTCTCTGCTGCTGGCCTCAAGCGCCTGTCTCGCTACCCATCTGGGAGTCCTTCTCTGGTCTCAACCCCTTTCCTAAAAGCCCTCCAGCAGCCCCCAACTTGTCCCACAGGTTCCAGGGCTGTGTGTGAGTGGTATAAATCAGATACACGGCACTCAAGCCATGGGTTATTTGAGATAACGGTGGTTTGCACCACAGTGCTCTGTGGCCTCCGGAGTGTCTTCCCTCCCGGGGGGGACCTGGATATTGCTTTGGATCTCCACCTAACCCATAGCCAGAAGGCTGTGTATCCCCAGCTCATAAGGTCTATGCAATTAGGAGGCAGCATCTTGCATAGAAGGCAGTGGGCCAGGGTCACTTGTCAAAGGAAGATGCCCAGTTGCTTCCGTCTGGCTCTGCGGATGGATCACTTTCCCACCATGCACCAGTGCAAAAGGCATGCTGAATTGGCTGAAAAAACAAAAGTGGGAGGAAAAGTTGTACATGCCATGCTCCCGCCCTGGCTCTCTCCCACATGCGGCTGCAAGTTCCACCAGGTTGGAGTTTAAAGAGTCTCAGCAGAGGCAGCTGTTTGGGCCTTCCAACATTGGGGTTTGTTTGGGTTTCCCAAGGGAGACAGCTAGGATGGACCCCCACCTCAAGCTCCTCTGCTCTGTAAGGACCTGCCTGGGATTGCTGTGGTGAGGAAGGCTACCAAAAACAGGCCACCTGATGTCACCTTAAGCCCTCTGTCAGGCTGAGATATTTGGGTTGTGTCTCCTTCTCTCTGCACATCCAGGAGGCCACTCAAATGCATCTCCCAGGGATCCTGGGCTCAGCCACCTCTTCTTCCCCTCGTGCCAGGCTTCTGGTTAATGGGTGAGGGCAACCTGGCAACAGCACAGGCATCAACCCTTACAGCTGGGCTGGGACGATGCTGCTAGAGAGGAACCTGTTTCAGTCAGGGTGGCCTGGGCGAGAGGCCATGGATGAAAAATTAAGGACTCTCCATGGGATCTCGGCCTCTTCCCTACCCATGTGCTGAGAGCAGCATGAAAAGGGGAGAAGATATCTCCTTTTCTCAGGGGATACCACTGGTTTGTAAGCAGACACCTAGCCAAAGAGGCCCCCACCAAGATAAGTCCTGGTATTTTCAACGCGAACTAGAGATGGTGATGACCCACAATGGGAGCTGTTTGGGGTGCAGGCACAGAAGAGGTTGGACAAGATGTTCCCTTTGAGACCTGACACAACTAAATAGCTTGGAAAGAAGATTGATAATAACCCTGGAGACTATTAAGTGAAGATCAAGAAGAAATATCCAGGTCCAGGAATCCATCGCATCATCTTGGCAGAGCTTGATGTGAACTGACTTGAGGTGTCTGAAGGGGAGAAGATGACTTCAAAATTTTCATGCTCAAGAACTTCATGCAAAAAGGAAGCAAGACAGTAATCTTCTACCCACCCTTCCTGGCAGGGGGGATTTTGGTGTACAACAGTGTCTTTGGTACTGAGATTCTCTGCTCAATGGAGGAATGGATTCCTGTGAAAGGAAGAGTTTGCACCAGTAACGAAGGACTGCACAAGAACTGTGCTGTTCCCACAGACAAGCTGCAGACTTTGCTGCTTCTCAGAGCAGAAATCTCAAAGCTTTTTGAGCAGCACAGCAGTGCCCAGAGACCATATCCCCATAGAGTAAAGCACAGGAAGGCACGTGCAACATCATCCATCTGAACAGGATGGCTCCCAAGAGCTGGTCCCAGCACGGGAGCATCCTTGATGGGAGGACTGGCCATCTGTCTTGTGTCTGGATAGAGATGTGCCCTGTGGCTATGGCACAGGGTGGCCTGTAAAACCACCAGGCAGAAATGGCTCAGTTCTGGTGCTCTGAGAGAACCCTGTGAGTGATGGAGGAGGAAATCTGGGGACATCTGTCTTCCTGTGGTTAGGAAATAAATACTGTGCTGTACCAGGCTGTTAGGAACAGAGCACCAGAACAGCAAATGATGTGAGAGTAGATTCAGGAATAGGAGATGTCCACAGGGACATGAATGTCTGTGAAGCATTTGCCTGACCCAAGACCATCTCAAGGGCTACTTTTAAGGGGCAAAGGTGATGCCCACCTCCTTGGCTCACTTTTGCATGACTGCTAGAAATAGATGTGTTAAAGAAAGGCAGAGATAGCCCCAAGGAGTGGAGCTGGCTGCCAGGATGCAGTCCCAGCAAGATGTGATTACAAGACCTGCTCCCCTCACCATAAGGGCAAAGCTTGCTGGACTTCCACGAGAAGTCTTCCTACATCAATGCCCCTTTGTTAGCCCACCTGCAGATGATGTAGGGGGTATGCTTCCATACCATGCTGCAATCCTATGCAGCATCATGAACTACTCAAGCACTATCTCTTCTAGAGCAGGCTGTCCACCACTCCATAAACACGCTGGTGTTGGTTTCTGCAAGTCATTGTTGTTGCCTTGCCTGGCAGGACAGGGGTGTGGGCTCTGGGAAGGCGAACCTGTGCACTGTGACATGTGGGGCAGGCTCATCAAACTGAAAGGTGAGCAACTTGGGTTGGCATTTTGGGATCTGGACCATGGTGGCAAGATGCAATGACCACGTGTGGGTTTTCTTTCTTCATCTGTTGCCTTTTGGGAATTGTTCCAGGGCAGTAGGAATCCCTGAAAATCTCTCTTGTCCTTGAAATACCCCATGCACAGGGAGAGGGAAAACAAGGTAACACAAGGAAGAGATGGGGATGGTCTTCTTCACATGGCAGCAAAAGCTGGTCTCACTCTCTCTGCCTCCACCTGCCCTTGATTTTATTCCCCTTCACTGCTCTGTCCATCCCACAGAGTCAGCAGAAAGCCCATGCTGCTGCAGAGCTCCCTCTTCCCAGGAAGCATTAAGGTTCCCTTCTGAGCACTAGGTGATCCAGCATAAGAGAGCAGCATTGCCAGTGAAGTCCTGATGTCAATTAAGAAAGACTAGAAATTCCTCCTGAAGATGTCTTCTGTCTGCAGGGACCTGGGCAAGTGTCCTCAGCAAAGCCACCATCCTTTGGCAGGGATGCAACAGAGAATAGCGGAAAGACTGCAAGGAGCTCCTCCTTGAACAGATGAGCCATCTGAGATTCTCTCAAGAAATCTCCTATCCCTGAATGCTTCTTCATAAATGAGATGACCAAGAGTCCAGGTCCTGTTTCGCTTGCTCTGCTTTACTTCTGGTGGTCTACTGCAAGATTTCAAAGGCGTGCATCGCCCCCACAACCAGCTGCGGAGGGTGACAGATCCATTCCGGGGATGCTGGCTGGAAAAAGCATTTCCAATGTGGCAAGAAGGATGTGGTGGCTACACCAAGGAACCCACTTTCTCTGCAAAGCCAAGATCAAGGGCCAGGGCATCTGAGCTTTCCTCGTACGTGTCCTCAGATGTTGTGAGGTATGTGGAAGGAATCAAGCTCTGCAGTTCATCTTTTCATGCCATAGACACAGACGCAGGCATTGTAGTGCTGAGGAGAAGGTGGAAGCCACAGGATTTTGCTCAAGTGTCACCCCAAAATAAAATTTAAAAAAACCCATGCAACCCAGAGAGAGGCCAAATGGCTTCTGTGGACTCACGACCAGCAGCCAGGAGCTTGGCTCAAGCAGAGACAGAGGAGCTGTTGAGCTCCAGAGATGTGCGCAGGTGCCATCACCTCCCAAGCAGGTCTGGTAAGCTAAGGGCAAGACTAGTGAGAGTCCTGCTCCCCAGAGACCCGGTCACGTGTCTTCCAAGTCCACACTTGAGGAAGAGTCTGCTGGGTACAGCACGGTGTCCCCCAGGGAGAGGGGTCACCCTGGCTGCCCCATCCTCACTCTCCAAAACAACTGCAAAGTCCCCAACATCCTCCTGCCTTTGCTCCCCCTTTCCCTTCCCAGGAACAAGCCACATCTAAGCCCACCCCAAAACCTCCTGCTCCCACGTGAGGGCACTTTGAGGAGCCAAGCAGGGATGGTGGCATTGGGCTGGCACCCTTCGGGGGCTCTCTGCGCCGATGGAGATGGGGCAGGGGGCTGGCTGGGGCACACAATTTGTCAAAACCCACCCCGGGAGGTTCTGAGCCCCTCCTGGCCCCGTTCATGCCTCCCCTCGAAGGGGACAGCTGCTGGCTCTGGGAGGCCGTGGACCTCTTTAAACTCAAAGGAAAGCAACATCAGGGTTCCCTCGGGAGGCGCGGTGGCGGTGGAGCGGGGAGGAAGGAGGGGTGGATGGTGCGTCCCGTGGCCAGGTTGTGGCGGAGGACTGGGAGGCAAACCTTGCACGCCACCCTGTAGGGGCAGTTCTCTCCTAGGCCCAGAGGAGGCGAGATCACCCGTACTAATTTGTACATATCCTTATACGAGATCCTGCCGCTGCAAAGGAAGCACAGGTGGGTTAATAGGACACTGAGAAGGTGGAAGGGAGGATGGAGAGCTGAACCAGGGGATGCTGGGGCCATCTGTGGGGTAAGACCCCCCAAGGGTGTACAGCTCTTCTCCTTCTGGCTCTGTCAGACCCAGAGAGAAGAAAGCTGTAAGCATCAGCTACTGCATTCTCCACCATGAGTCAGCTCATACCTCCTCACACTGACCCATTTTGACCCTGGAGAAGGACAGCTTTGGTGGTGAACACCACCCCATCACCCTTCCTCATCATGCCCCTGGCCGCCTACACCTGGTGGGAGAGGGATGGGATTTTAGATGGAGTGAGCCTGAAGCTTGGTTGGATTCTAGCCACCACGAGCCCTTTTGATGGAGTTGTGTCCCATCACACCACCAGAGCGCCTGCCCTCACATGGCCAACTCTCTGGTCCTCACAAGGTTCCAGGGAGGTTGGCAGCTGAGTCACTTTTATCTTCAGTATCTGGGGAACCTGAAATAGGGAGAGATAATGTGACCAGCTGGTGACCAGTGGCTGTGGCACTAGCACCTAGGTCTCTTGTGGTCCAGTCCTGTGCTCTGACCACCAGACCGTGCTCTGCCAAGGGTACACATTATTAGAAGCAAACCATCCCATCTACACACCCCTTCTCGCCCACAGAAGCACATCTGCCCAGACCCAGGTGCAGTCACTGCAGGATACAGCCCATATCCCTCCTGCACTGGGTGAAATAACGAAGCAGTCGAGATAGAGAGCTGGCAGGAGAGGGTGCAGGGCTGTCAGATGCTGAGCTCCCCACTCCACTCCAGACCAGAGCCCTTTAGGAAGCAGAACTGTGTGGGGTGGAAGTGCTGAGGTGCAGCATGCTGCAGCCTCCTGGGCATCCTTGGACAAGCTTGGTGGGAAACCACACGAGGAGGCAAAGCACAGCGTTATCATCCAACCCAGCACCTTTGCCTCTGGTTTCTCCTTGCTCTTCTCCCGTACCCTCTCCATCGCTGGGCAGAGCTAACCCAACCATCTGGACAAAACCCATCCCTGAGCCCCCCTGGTAACAGGCAGTCTCCCCACGAGACTTTCATGTGATGGTCCCAGTGTCAGGATGCAGAACTGCTGCCGCACTCAGGTGGTGGGACCCATTCGGATGTACTCACCAGTTCCTCACCCAGCAACGGGGACCCAGGCTTCCCCCACAGGCCCAGTACCACCAGCTCCTGTGCACATCCCCTAACCACTGGCCACGCATCATGACAAAAGAGCACAGCTTGCTCAGAAATCAGAGGGGTAGATGGCATCGATCGGACAGTTCAGGCATGCTTTTTTAGCCACTGTCCTGGAGACACGGGCCACCAATGTGGGGGGCAAGAGTGAACGAAGTGCCTGGTGCAAAGGAATCCTTCCTAAAAGCTGTGAGAGAGAAGCTCCACACCAAGATGTTTCACTGCTCTCACCTCCTCTCCTTTCTCTAGTTGTCCATCAGGACATCTACTCACCCATACTGACCTCTCCTCCTTGCACAAGGCACAGTTGCCCACTAACAAGTAAACCCACCTGCCCATGGGGACCTTGCACAGCAGCAAGAGTGCTGGAGGAGGCCATGCGGGGAGGAACCTGGCCAGCATCGAGCTGCACAGGGTTGGACAGAAACAGTGGAGGAAGCTATGCCAGGAGCTGATGATATTAGGCATAAAACATTATCTTGTCTGGAGCTGGTCTCCTGAGAGGCAGAACATTAGCAGTGAAGGGTCTCCAAAGGGAGAACATGTGGCTGCTAAGGGCTCTCGAGCTAAGATCACCTGCGGTCCCCATCACAGCGATGGTGGACCATGGCTCCAAAGAGGCTGTCCCTGGGCTGAGGGATGGAGGAAGGGCTCACACAAGATGCCTTTGTGAGTGGAGGACAAACATGCTCCCACAGCTGCTGAGGGCTCCACGCTGCCCTAGAGATGCTCCTGACCATCCTGGGAGGAGCATTGGAGAGCAGCTCCTCTGCAGCAGCAGGAGCAGAGCCAAAGCCTCAGCCACCCCAAGTATGTACGGCTGTTGTGATCCCATCCCATTGCTAGGAACAGGCTGCTGCCTGCAAACAGGAGCCCTGTTTGCTGGGGTCCTCATAGCATCCCAGCAAATGCGTGCCGGTGCCAAGCTCCCGTCTCTAGAAGGGTGAATGGGCTGGCCAGTATAAGAACACAATTCCCCAAATCCATCAAACATGCTTCCAACAAGGTCCTCCATAGGTGACTTGTCAGGAGCCCAGCAGCCCAGCAGCATCTCCACATTGCTGGGAGCAAGCCACCCCTCTGCAAGCTCTGCTCTGGCAGGGAGCTGTGGGTGCTGGGGACCAGGTGATGGAGCTGGTCTCAAGGCAGGGGCACCCAGCTGGTGCATGGAGACAGGGAAGGAGGCTGAGAGGGACCTGCCTGCTGGCTGGGGAGGAGAGAAATAGCAGGAAGCTCCAGCACTCAGGATAAAACATCATGGCAAACCATGAACATCACCCAAGGCGTCTGTGCCACCAAGGACTGTAGGAACCAGCTGTTGCCCTTGTAACGACTGCAAGCAAGAGCAGCCCTTCCCAGACCATCCCAGGCATCGCTGCCGGCTTCCAGTAGCAGAACATGGAGACACCTGCTTAAAACCAGCTCTGAGAGGCTGCTGAGGAGAGAAGGAGCTGGCTACATACCACGCTGCTCTGTCATACTCTGCCCAGATCCGGACAAACTCATCTAGATGGTGAGGTCCCAGGATGGAGGAATCTCGAGTCAGGTATTCAAAATTGTCCATGATGACTGCCACAAACAGGTTGAGCATCTAAGTAAAGGGGAAAAAGGCAGAGAGAAAGGAAAGTAGGAGGAGAGGGAGCAGAGATGACCCTATGGCAGGGCTGTAGGTCAGGGGGCTGATGAGAGGGACCCCCCCCAGGGCTCTCAGGGAGGAGGAACTCACCAGGAAAGAGCAGAAGAAAATGAAGGAGACAAAGTAAACGTAGGCCAGGTCGGTGCCGCAGCGCTCGTTCTCGTTCTGCCCGGACGTTGCCGTCGTGTCTGGCTCGCAGCCTTTGCCCTCCAGGCAGGACAGCATGATCTCCTGCCATGCCTCTCCCGTGGCACTCCTGCGCCCAACACAGCTGTGCTCAGCAGCTCATGGTGGCATGGGATGGAGCTGGGGCAGGATGCACCCAGGAGAAGCCTGACAAGAAGCTGTGCAACCCCCTACTCAAATTAAGCACATCTCCGGCGTGCAGAGGAGCAAGGCACTGGGTCAGCAGCAACCAAGCGAGACCCACAGAAGTACAACCATGCCAGGGTGTAGCACATGGGGTCAACTCCCCCCAGCCAGCTGGTCCAAACTGCTGGGAGTCAGACATCCTTTTTAGGGTAGGGTAGGGGAAAAAAAGGGGTTCCTTAGTTCCTGTGGCCATGGGTTGCCCAATTGCTCTCTAGTACCAAAAGCTGACCTCCACCAAATAACCTGCAGCTAGAACCTGCCCAACCCAGCTCCTGGCACATCTACACCCAGAAACGCTGCCAAAGGAGTTCTCTGTGGTTGCTTACCTGAAAAGGAGCATGAGAGAGCCCAGGAAGCTGCGGAAGTTGTTGTGCCGGTTAATGTGGCTTTCCTCATCTAGTTTGATATTGCCAAAAACCTGCAGGAGGGAGAACAAGGCCTCAATTATTCAGGCAAGAGCTTGGAGGCCAGGGAAGCAGCTGCACTTTTGCTGCAGGGATTGATCCTGCCCCAGGTCCACCACCCTTGGTGCAGCCAACCCCTAAAGCAGTCAACATCCATCCTCTCTGTGCAATCCCCCATGGAAAAGCATCCCAGCAAATGCGTGCCGGTGCCAAGCCAGCACGCTGAGGAGCTGGCACTGAGCAGTCACCGAGGAAGGAGACTCTCCTCTCCTCAGCAGGGATCTGTGGTGGGCGGCAAAGGCTGTGAGAGGCCAAGCTGCCATGGAAACAGGAGCATGGAGGACCTGGGATCAACCGAGTCCAACTGTTCCCCATGTCCATCCCTCTGCTGTGCTATGGGCAGCATACGAGCACCGCGTGGCAGCCAGCATCCCGAGTGCACCGGAGGCACAGGGATGAGTTGCACCATCCTGGGTGGGTGATGGTCCTGGAAACTCCCAGGAGCGTTTCCCTTGGTGGGGAAATAGTCTGTGATGCTGAGGGTGGGCACAGCGGTGCAAACAGGGTGGGGAAAGGCAGACAGACCAACTGCTGACCCACCACAGACAGCCAGACACCTGGGACTACCATCCCTAGGGCCAAAAGAAGCCACAAAACCCCCAAAACAGACAATATCCTAATAATGACCCACAGCCAAGGCCGTGGTAGGACATAAGGAATGTTCTTAAAGTGCCTCAAATAGGAAAAAAAATGTGCTGTTATTACTGTTAAATATTTATTCCACTTTCCATGAACCTAAAAATACACTAACTGCAGAGTATTTTTTCCCCTGTACAGGTTTTTTGGAATGTCTAATTGTAGAATATTTTCTGCCTACAGCTATTTTGCTCAAATAACGCCTACAGACTTTACTGCTTAGGGATTTGTTCACAATGGTGTTAGAAAAAAATAAAATAAAATAAATCAAATACTACCACACGGCAGGGAGAGGGGGGGGCTGAGTCAGATGGCGGTTGTTTAGTGAGAACACCTGGAACCGGTGTTGAGATGTGTAGGACAAAGCGGCCAAAAGCAGCCACGCAACTCTCAGGGTGGGAGAGAGGAGGTGGAAGAGACTAAACACCAGCGCTGCCAAGCATCCTGAGCCGGGGGCCACCGCTCTGCCTGCTGCCTCCCCAAAATCTGCCCGTCCTGGCAGCGCACGTTGGGCGATGGTGTTGGGTACTGCAGCTGCTCACTCATTGGGTGGCTCCAGATCCTGAGCGTACATCGTCGAAGATGCTTTGTCAGATCCTCAGCGTGGGATTTAGTCACTGCAGAACCGAGCCAGCCCCGCGGCACTTGGGGAGCTGAGGGTTTTAGCTCACGTGCTTCTTATTTGCCAGCTGGAGCCTGGAAAGCTCACGCCTTCCCATGCTCTGCAGACCTCCCACCATCTGGGAGGTCATTGAAGGTCCCTAAGCATGAGAGCTCAAGCAGACCATCAGAACATCCCTCTGCAGAAGGACAAGGTGGACAACAAGCTGTGGGGATCACCATTGTGATCCAGCTGTTCAGATGGAAATAGCAGAAGGCTGCTCACCAGGTCCCTCAGGCATGAAATCAATATCTGGGAGCTGCTAGGGAGCTGGAGATGGGGTGTCATTTCTAAAATTGAAGTGCCTATGAAAGAAAGGGGTGGTGATGTGAAAGCAGCTGCCACACAGGATGCCCAGTTGAGTCCCCAAGGCCACACGTCCAAGGCTACAAGTTGGGAAGGCATCCATGGAGCTTGACTGAACAAGCCCGTAGAAGCTCCCTCAGGGCATGTAGCTCTGTGCAGCTCCCAGACAAGCTGTTCCACGCTTGGGACCTTCCTGGACGCCGTGACCGAGTGAAGCAATGACAGGCAGGCACAAGGCTGGCTGCCGTGCGCAATGCTGAGGACATGCTTGTCCAGCCTGTCTGCGTGAGAGGGATGCACACTGAGATGTCTGTGCTCACCTGCATCCCAATGATCGCGTAGATGAAGAAAAGCATGGCAATCAAGAGGCAGACGTAGGGGAGGGCCTACAAAAGAAGCAGATGAGTCATCTCGTTTAGCTCAGGTCCAGCTCCAGAGGAGTACAAAAAAGCACAGCGAGCAGGTAAGCTGTGCCCATCCCTCTCTCCTACAAGCCAACAAGTCAGCAAGACCTCAGGAACAGCCTGCATTTGGGAGTAGCACCCCAGAACCATGGCCTGGGAGGAGATCAGGGTAGACATGGCTTACCTTGAAGGACTGCACAAATGTCCAGAGAAGGATGCGGATGGTGTAACCCTGGCGCAGCAGCTTGATGAGCCGAGCAGCCCGGAAGAGCTTCAGAAAGCTCATGTTGAAGCTGCTGGTGTTCACCAGCTAGGAGGAGATGAAATGGTCAGAGGCAGGCAGGAGCCCCCCACCCCACAGTGGTTCATCCCCCTGCTCCCAGCCCCTGCTTCACCTTGGTGTCTGTCAGGATGATCTCTGTAATGCTGCCGGTGACGGTGATGAAGTCAAAGATGTTCCAGGTGTCCCGGAAATAATTCTGCAAAATAAATTGAGCTGGGGGATGGCAGGTTTGAAGGGCATTGGGCCACAGGCCAAGGCTGCTCACGAGCAACGGCGGCGGCAGCAGAGACCTCGCTGCCCATTTGTATGCGGCCACAGTCTGGAGTATCATCCTGCATCTGACACGGTGGCAGATCTGAGCGTGTCTGCAGTGAGCAGCTTCTCCTGGGAGATGACTCAGGCATCCAACAAGTCACCTTGGTGAATGGGAGTGGGAAAAGCAGCCACAGCCTGCTCAGGGCTTGTCACACTGACCCTCACAGCCACACGGCTGCTTTGTCCTCCTCTTTTTGGGCTCATGGACCTGCTGTTTGTGCAGCAGCTGGTGCAAGATCAGACTTGACCATGGCTGGAGCTGCTGGGAGCAGAGAGGGTGGCTAGAAACCCTCCTGCTAGTGGATCTCATCTCCTGGTATGGGTTAGAAACAGGAAGGAAACTATGAAAGAGCAGATCTATCACTTGCTCATAAGCAGCACAGAGTAGCTGTAGAAAAGGCAGTGTGCAGCTTCAAACGTCCCATCCCTGGAAACATTCAAGGTCAGGCTGGACAGGAATTTGAGCAACCTGATGTAGCTGAAGATGTCCCTGCTCACTGCTGGGGTGTTGAACTATATGGCCTTGAAAGGTCCCTTCCAACCCAAACCATTCTGTGATTCTACGATTCAAATCTTAAATAAGCAGCCAGGGACTTGAGGACTGGGAATTGGGCAGAGAGATCTCACTGCTGGTCAGGTCTGGTCCAACTGATGCAGCCCAAGGACAGTAACACGTCAGCATCTCCTAGCTTAGGGGTACCAGGGACTACAGCCACCAGCATGATCACAGCAGCAGTTGGCTTCAGCAGAACAGCTGCACAGCACGTGATCCAGGCACCCAAGTATCACAGAACGAGGCAAAAAGTAAAGCAACAGTGTGGGTCCCCCCACCAGCATCCAGCAGTGGGAAGTTTAACGAGAACCAAAGGAGCTATTCCAACCTAAAAGCAGCTCTCAGGCTGGGACCCAAAATAAATAGTAACAATCTCACATTATTAACAGTTTCCCTCTGCGATACCCGTGCTGTCAAAGTCCAAATTAACACCCTTGTCAAGAACAGGAGCAGCCACTTACCAGGAAGCCGAAAGCAATGATCTTGAGGACACACTCCAAGGAGAACACCATGGTGAATGCGATGTTCAGGTACTTCAGGGCCAGCTCATAGGTGTACGGAGCAGAGTAGTACTGATGAAAGAGACAGATGTTGCTAGCCAGGAGGGGGCCTGCCAGCCTCTTGGCTGATGACTGTCCCAGGGAAGACGTGTGGTCCCCCATGCACCTTGCCCTGGGGGTCTTAAGACCATCTCCTCCTTCCCCTCTCCACCCCTCTCTCCCAGGACAGCTGCCACTGCTTTGAAAAAGGAAGCAGAGAGTAAATCCAGATCTTTCTGTAGTAGCTAAGAGGTCCAGATCGTTTGGGTCATCTGGTTTAGGGATGATCTTGCCTCCAGTTTAAGGCACGTAGTGTTTCCTGTGACTACGCCAAGGGAATACATGCTCGGACTCTGTCTCAAAGCATCTCCTAGAAACAACCAAAATACCCTCTGGTCCCATCCTGACTGATCCTCCTCTCCCCACCACCCCAAACAGGACAGGCTCACCTTCATCATCAGCACCACGGTGTTCAATGCTATCATGGCCATGATGGTGTACTCAAAGGATGGGGAGACCACAAAGTGCCAGACTCGATACTGGAAGGTGTGACGGTTCTGGGGCATGTACCTTGTGAGGGGCTTGGCGCTGATGGCAAAGTCAATGCAGGCCCTCTGGAACAAAACAACAGGCATCAGACCCTGGCCTGGGGTAACATGGGGGACAGTGCCTGTCACACTTCATGGGCTGGACAGGCCATTGGCTCACAGGTTTCTTATATCTTTTCAACATCTAGGAAGCTCCAAGCTCCCAAACCACAGAAAACCCATGGAAACATCCTCTTTTCCCCTCCCCAGGCCATACCTCGTTCTTCTCCAGACTGCACTCTTCCATCATTTTGTCTCCTTGCTCTTGGAACGTAATGATGATGAGAGCCACAAAAATGTTGACAAAGAAGAAAGGGAAGACCACAAAATAGACAACATAGAAAATGGACATCTCCATGCGGTTGCTGCGGCTGGGCCCACGGTCTTCCTCTGTCACATCCACCGAATGCTGCAGCACCCTGTGGGCAGACAGGTGGAGAAAAGCAACCAGAGATATGTCCATCAGGACTGCCACCACGTGGCACTTCTCACGGGACCCACCTTGTACAGCCAGCTCTGTCCACGCTCATAACAATGATAAGATAAACCTCTGACTTAATTTGCTTTACCAAGATGACCCTTCTGAGAGGCTACAGCTTATCTTATGGTGCTTTGCCTGTGCCCCTGATGGAAAATGGATATTCCAGTGCTCCACATAGAAACAAACTGTCCAAGCTCACATGAGCATGAAGAAAGGGCTAGTCCTACGATCTCTCTAAACTTGAGCTTAAGACATACCTCGGGGCCACACAGGAGAAGGGATTATCCATCATTCACTCCCTAAGGGAGAAGCTAACCCCAGCTATGGTCCCAGCCTTATATGGGGGCTGAAGCTCTTTTGTCCTGACATAATTTCTCATCCTTCCTCTCCTCCTCCCTGCCCAGTAGTTTCTCTCTCAGTCCTGCCTGGGTGAAGACAGTTATTACCCCCAACCACCCCAATGGGGATGCAATCACCCCCATGCAAGGGGGGAGAAGAGAGCAGAATACTCACTGGGGCCAACCCTCGCCGGTGGAGACCGTGAACAGGGTGAGCAAAGCCCAGATGATATTGTCATAGTGGAACTCATGGCGTTTCCACTCCCGGCACTTCACCTCCATCTTGTTCTTCTCGTGGTCCACGTAGTTGCCTCTGCAAGGTTGGGAGAGAGCAGTGACCTTGCTTTTTATGCTGCCAGACTATAAGATGGTGGTTTTAAACCCTGGGGGCAGTGTGTGTATGTGTGTGCAGTGGGGCAGGAGGGAAAGATGGGGAGAGGTGGGATAACAACCAGGGGAAAGGAGAGAAAGGGAAAGCAAATGGGAAAAGAGAAGGAAGAAAGAGAGCAAAAGCAAAACACAGGGCTCTGCATCCCACACCCCATGCAAGGATGCACAGAGCTGGCACAACAATGGGGACAGGGCTCAGCCCATGCTGTCCACCTCAAGAGACTATGGCCAAGAGCAAGTCATGACCAAGGACTTAACCAGGAACCAGAGAAGACATTACCCAGCCCCCTGCCTTTACCAGAGGTGTCAGCATCAGACCTACTGAACAGGGCACCTACATGCAGTCCTTCTCTGTGTCCTTAGAGCTGTCAGTGCAGTAGAAAAACTTCCCCTTGAAGAGTTGGACAGCAATGACAGCAAAGATGAACATGAAGAGCTTGTAGACGATGAGGATGTTGAAGACGTTCTTGAGGGAAGTCACGACACAGTCAAAGACAGCCTGCAAGAGAGGGCAGAGCTCACCTTGGGGAACCCACAGTCCTGGCCAAGGGTAGGACCAAAACTAGACTACCATCTGGAAAGACATTTCCCACTGCTGGTGGGGCAAGAAGGAAAGAGCTGGGCCTTCTCCCAGGCAAAGAGCTATTTTATGGACAAGTTCAACACTTGGAGTACCACTCAGCACACACATAGACACTGAGCAGCTCCTGAGACAGCAGCAGGGATAGATATTTATACTCTCAATGTTCTTTGCAACCAGGGCAGCAGACAAGGAACCACCCCAAAGATGCAATTAGCAGCACTCAAGACCAATTAGTAAACACATTGTTTTGCATCACCCTGAATAACAAGGCAGAGGAAATACCTCTGCCTGCAATAGCAGCACCTCCCTGGGCTGTGCTCTCAGCCCTAGTTCTCACAGCACTTGAAGAAAGAGAGGTATGTCCTTATCCCTGCTTCATGGTGGAAACAGAAGTATCCAGAAATGAACTGGGTTCATCATGAACTGGACTGAATCCATCCACTGATCAGGAAGAAAAGCTGGTGTCAAAACCTAGGTGTCTCTAGTTTGCCACCCTGGGTCTCATCCATCAGCCAAATAACCCCTTGTAAGAAAAAAACAGGGCTTCCTTGGTCTCTTACTCCTTTCTTGCTCTCCACCCCTTCAACTAAGGTAGAGAAATCCATAATCCTACCTGCACTGCACAAATAATCCTTCTAATGAGATGGGAAATCCCCCTTCAGTGCAATACCAAGACAGCACAGCACACAAAATCCCAAATTGTTTGCAAGCTGCTCTGCTGGGAAAGATCATTAATTTTGGAAAGAGATCTGAGCTCTTCCAAAGCCAGGGCAGCCTATTTTATCTGGGCTTTGCTGGCTTGTGTCTACTCCAGCCCCAATTTCCCTGGCACCTAACTCCAACACCTTGCAGAGATCCAGGCTTGCTTTTAATAAGTCACTGCACCTCCAGATGTGAAGCAGTCTGAAGGGCATTGAGTTTGAAAACAGGGCTCCTAAAACACAGCAAATGTTCTGAAAATGACTTGTTCATTGCTCACAAGCAAAATGATGCACGTGGTCATCGCACCAACCCGTCCATGCTGGAGAAGACAGACGTAAGGAAGGAGATGGGAGTCATTACCTTCAGCTTGGGCAGTCGCTTGATGGTTTTCAGGGGCCTCAAGACTCGTAGCACGCGGAGAGACTTGATGGTCTTGATATCTCGGCCCTTGTTGGTCCTACCACGTCGGAAGGAGGCACGTGGACCAAGAAAGGAAATGGAGAGACAATGGTCTTGCAGACCTGGAGCTGGATGCTCAAGGGACTTTCAACAGCTGACACCCAGCACCCAGCATGCGTGAGGATGGGAATGGGAGGGCCACACGGCATCATGGGGGCCAGTGATCACAAACATGTGACTGCTGAGCTCTCAAGCCCACCTAAACGAGTCTCCTCCACCAAAACACACACTGACTGAGACGTGACAACAGGAATGGGAGGGCCACACAGCATATTGGGGGCCAGTGATCACAAACGTGTGGCTGCTGAGCTCTCAGCCCACCTAAACAAGTCTCCTCCACCAAAACACACACTGACTGAGTTTAAAAATAAGCCAATTCTCTCCTCCTTGGGATTAGCACCTTTCCCCTTCGCTGGGGAGCGGCAACCTTAACAAATCCCCTTGTTGTGGGAAGCAGTGAGATGCCAGGGCTGGGGCAGAGGATGCAGTGCTCTCCCCAAGCAAGGGCAGCTGCCCGAAGGTCACTGTGGCACACTGTACTTCCCATGTCCCCAAGCCATGCTGCTTGACAGGGCCAGGAGGTTTGTTTCCCTACTGCAGGCATGTGCCATTTACAGATGGGGCTTGCAAAAGGTACCCACTATTGTAAATTGTTTTATTCTGTTGCTATTGGCTATGAGGAATTAATAATAAAATGAGGGGGATTCACTCAAGGGGGGCTACATGTAGGTCTCCCCAAGGTTTCTCCATCCTGGTTTAAAATGAAGGTTCAAGGTCCTTAGATTCACCTAGGGGAGCACTAGTTCTCTGCACAAATGCCATCTCTTACAACTTTCTGCCTTATTCCACCAACTTGATCAGCCTGGTCTCCCATCCACAACAGCTCAGCCCTC